GGCAGTGAGGAGGATGGTGTTGGTCTCTTTTCAGTGGTGGTCACCAACAGAACTAGAGGTAATGGCCACAAACTGAAGCACCAAAAGTTCCACAGGAACTTAAGGAAAACAATTTTAGCAGTGAGGGTGACAAAGCACTGAACAGGCTGCCCAGAGAGGTTGTGGAGTCTCATTTTCTGGAGATCTTCAAAACCCGTTCAGATGCCACCCTGTGCCACATGCTCTAGGTGACCCTGCGGCTGCAGGGGGGTTGGACTAGATGACCTCTAGAGGTCCTTCCAACCTTAAGCATTCTATGATTCTATGTTCTATGATTCTCTGAATTGGGGATACCACTATAGGAGCAAGATCTTCGGGTGCTCTTGGGATACCTGGCTGTAAATTAAATTAAACAGCTCTTTTGTCTACCTCTCCCAGAGAGAGTACTCCTGTCTAGAGAGAAAACAGGGAAAGAATGATTTCTGGGCAAAGAGCCTTCCAGTGGAGATCAATCCCATCTTCATCCTTTCCCCTGTCTAGACTCTGTACTTGAAATTCCTGAACTGAGGGGGAAGAAATTCCCCTGCTCCTCCTACAACCATGGATGAAGTCATCGAAGGATCTGGCTCCCGGAAGCTCCTGGGCTGGGAATATTCCTCTTGCTCTACAAGGCTGGAAATAACATGGCAGCGCCTTCACACAGCCTCTTCTCCTGGAGGCTGTTCCTCTCCTGTGAGTGGCAGTCCGGCTCCTCGGAGACCTCGGAAAGCTCAGCCAGGGGTTGGCAGCCACTGCGGCTCACTCGAGCCATCGGTCCCATAGAGCAGATAAGGCTCCCCTTGATAACGAGACCTGCCAGAAACAAGTGTCCATTTTTTTCCACTTTTTTGAAGTCCAGTTGGTGAAGTTTAGCAGAACTTTGTCTTACTGCCAAAGTAACCAACCTCCAGCCCCAGCTTTTTTCTTCCCTTCTTTTCTCCATCCTCCCCCTTCCCTCTTCCTCCTCGCTCCTCCATGCACACACCTCTCCGTGGGGCTGATACAACTGCTGGGGAAGGGGGGGAATGTTAAGGGAGGGTGATGTCATCTGTTTTTGACCCCGTGGAGGAGAAAAGCGCTGCCGGAGAAGGCGAGGGCCCGGCACGTCTGCCTCTACCCAGCCTGGCGCCGGCAGCAACTGGGAGCCTTCCTCTCGCGGCTGCTGCCTCTGCGCCTTATCAGGGGCAGGATGACATCTTCGGGACCGCGGGACTTGCTGGAGAAAGGAGCCCCTGGACGTGAGAGCCTTGCAAGAAGCGGAGCCGCCTCCGGGTGCCTGGGTGTCTGCAAACAGCTCCTGGCAGCAGGCGCCGGGGGGAGGCTGCTCCCAGCAGGATGGAGACAGCTATCGGCTGCGTCTCTATCCCGGAGTCATTGCATGGGAAGGATGGGCAGGGGACGGTGGGAGTTTAACCTCTCAGTGTGCAAAATCCCACATGGTGCTCCGCAAAGGGTTGGATTCTCCCTCACTGCATCTGAAACGGAGGCCAAGCTTGGAGGGGAGAGGGAAGGAGATGATCATTTTCATCCTCTACCTAAAGCTTGGGGTGAAACGAGCTTCCAAGCAGGGCTGGCTACAGACTTGCTCTGAGCACAGTTTTGAGACGGAGTGTTGGGTCTTCAGTTAAATATTCTCGGCTATTTTTTTTTCCTGACTTCAAATAAAAAAATCTTCATTTTGATAAAATAATAATAGCCCATAACGCCGTCCACTCCCCCCTGCTTCCAAAAATACTGTTTGGTAAAAAAAAAAAAAGAATGAAATATTTTTGGCTGAAGCCAGAAACAAACTGTGCTTCCTCTCTCTCCTACAACACTGCTCCTAGGAAGCTGAATCCTGATGGGATATGGGAGGTCAAAGAGAGACACAGATCTCTAGAGGGGATAGGATCATCATGGGAAGGAACCATAGACCCCCTGAGGTATGGGGCAGAAATTTAAACACTGAGTGTTTCTGTTTCCCACTAGAAAATATATGGACTTGATTTTGGGGGTACTAAAAAAAGTATTTTTCTCTAAAAAACAAAAAGTCTTGCTTGCTGCAATTACAGTGGGAAAGGAGAATAAAGTCGATACTGAAAAGTCAGTGCATTGAAATCTAAGTCACTTCAGGGAATGTTTCACACCTAAATCTGTGTCGGTGTTCCAGAGTTCAAGTCCCACTGATCCCAGGCAAGGTCACATCCTCACATCAAAGGTGAGTGATTTGAATGTCTCTAAAACAGAGGTCTCCATTTTCTCCATGGCTGCCCTAAGATTCAAAGAAATGGGTCTCATACAGCAAGGAATTATGTCTTAGAAAGGTTTTTTATCCTATCAGACTGGGGTGACTAGCTGCCTTACAGACACTAATATTGGACAAATGAACACTATACTTCTGCCAGCAAAACCCTGTTTTTACATTAAGAAATGAACACCCTGCTTGGAAGGCCGTGCAGGGAGTCTAAGGGAAGTCACAGACAGCTCCGTGCTGACGTTGGCTTTTCAAGCCAGAGCAAAAGTGTGTCCCTTGGTCAGCATCAACATCTCAGATGTCCCGTAATAAAGTACATTTTCTCAGCACAAATAAATGACTTCATTCTGCTGGCGAGGTGCTCTGGGTTCTTTCAGGAGCACTACGTGGAATAACAACAGAACCGGAGCAATGAGATCCGTATTTCTCCGGGGATGAAGCGCTGGCTGGCGGGAAGGCTCCAAAACAAACACCAAAGCAAGCAGCTTGGACTGTTCTGCATTGCATCTGCAGAGCCAATACTACCGCTTGCTGGTGGCCTTTCAGGCCACTCGTTCAAGCACACGTTGCAAAAGGGCAATTTCTCCCTTGCTCAGAGGGGAATGAGAGGAGACACCATGGGATGAGAAGCAATCCCAATTCTGGGAAAGTGCAGGAAAAAGGCTTTTCAGAGGAGGGCAAATGAATTAACACCTTTCCCGCTTGCAAACCCACAGCGCCAAAGCTGTCAGGAGGCTCCATTGTGCAGATCTTGGTGCTGTTATCAGCGCCTCCCACGCGCTGGAAGTGAGATATGTGTGACATTTTTTCCATTTGTGAGCTTATCATTGCTGAGAAGGGACTGGAGAGAGCAATGGGGAGGAGAAGGGAGGGAGAGGAGACACACGGGCATCAATTCCCCCCACCAGCACATCTCTTCAATCCTCCCCATGCTCCCTGCATCCATGATAGAAAGAGGAGTGGGAAGAGTTTTAGAAGAATACGTTGGCAAACTAGTTGTGTCAGACCTACAACCTCCTGGTGCAATAGGGACAGTCCTCAATTCCTTGTGTAAGATCCTAAAATTCTCTTCCTGAAATCATATCTCTTAATTCATATGGGTGTACATAGAAATGGAGAGACCTTCTGCAGTGATATTGGCTAGGCTAGAAAGACCTCAAGGGAAATGACCCCTCTGTGCATAAGACTGGCCCTTCCCACCACAGTGGGAAAGCTCCAGCTACCAGAAAAAAAATCAATATTGTATTTGCATCTTAAACCACTAGACTTATTCCATTTTGGATAAGTTCAAGTGTACCACAAGTCTGCTATTAACCCTTTTCCTCACAAGTGAAAGACTGATAGTGAGTTTGGCTGATAGGAGATGCTTGATACTTGTTTTAGTATAAGACGTGCAGTTTTGCAGTGCTGTCTTGAAGCCACTGGGAAGAAATTGCCTAAATAAGCAGCGCTCTGAATGCAGAGGTGAAGCTGGGGTCCCCCTTGCTGCAATGTTAGTAGGTTTATTCTGCTGGGAAGGAGAGTTATGAATAAGCCCCACCAAGAAGTGTAACACTCCTTGAGTGCATTATGGACTCCACGGCCTTGTGTTTCTGAGGATGGGGCTATGGTTCAGGCTGGATGATAATACGGAATTTAATATATGGTCCACAGTCAGTGGACATATCTGAGTGCCAGACATCTCCTGATACCGAGCTCATGGGAGGGAATACACGAGAGCACATGGAGGATCGAGAGTACATGGAGGGGAGGATGTTTTGTCTGTTCAGGGAAGTGATTATTTCTGGTAGCTGATCTGGGAGGTGGTGGCCACACTTCTGTGATTAATGGGAGATTTCTGCATGAGCACCATTACTCTCCAGGCCCTTGTCCCTTGGGACAGCTGCTATCTGCTGGAAGATGATGGTCTTCAAGCACAGTTCGTTAGCAGAATTCCCTGGGGAGGGGGATAACTGTGATGGGTTAAGCACATATTGGAAAAGATTCCTCTGCATTTTGTGAGCTGTGAGCAGAATCAAGGTCCCTCGGAATGTGCACAGAAGCAGCCTTGAGCTAGACCAGATATCACCTCCCACAACAGCAAACTCCCCAAACTGACTCTCCAGACATCATCAAGGTCTTCTGTAACTCAAGCATGGGATAGTGATGAGTGAGTTTTGCAGGGGTGAGTCTATTTGCAACAGCGATGTTCTCATGAGTGCAGCGATCTAGGGATATAACTGAAGTTTGTGAAGGAAGGTGGTGTTATAAGAGCAACAGATATCCTTGGGTAGGGTGGGGGAAGAAGAAGGTGCCTTGCTTTTTTGGAAGTTATCCCGTATTTGTTCATAAGCACTTGTTTATAAGCATTCCTACGATGTGGTGCTCTTGGGAATGCAAGGATGGGCCGGCAGACCCTTTCCCTGTCTAGACACCTGAGTGGGTGAATGACTCCAGAAGGGCTTCCAAACTTATCCAGTCAAATTATAGGTGCTGCCAGCTGGTAAGAAGTCCAGCTGGACCTGAGGGTTGGCAGGCTGGAAGAGTCCAGAGATATCTCTGGTCAGAGATATCCTTGTCCAGGTGGATCCTTCATGCCAGCTGGTAAGAAGTCCAGCTGGACTGCAGGGTTGGCAGTTCAGAGATACCTCTGGTTATTTCCTTGTCCAGGTGGGTCCTTCGCTATTTTCTGTCTTTATAGTCCATATTGGGTGTGGATCGCCTCTGAAGAAGTGATAGCTGCACCAGGAAAGTAGGTGAGCTGATGTTGGTGGATGTATGGGCTCCACTGATGGATTCATAGGCTGGATAAAGTATGTGAAGCGTTGACTAAGGCCAGTCTGCAAACCCCAACTACAAAACTCCTTAAATTCACCTTCACACAGTCTCCTGTCTCAGATGAAAACAGATAGCCCTTTACACACATATGCACACAGCTGCCCCTTATCTATGAAAAAAAAAAAAAAGAAAAAAAAAAGAATTAGGAACATAACAGGAGTGTATTGGCCAAGTGTTAGGAGACAAACCACACAGGCTATTATGAGCAGAAAGACGCCAGGTCTAACGCACAGAGCAGCAGAGCAATCCTATTTCCTAGAAAATATGTTATTTTTCAACCTAGCAAGTGAGATCCTTGCTGTCCTCCAGGATCAGACCACCAGGCTGATGGCTTCACTCACTGCCCTGTTCTGAGCATCCCCAGTACAGGGGGACATCTGGAGTGCACAGAAAGCAGCGGAAGGAGGAGGCAGCAAACTTTCCTTTCCTTTCTCTTTTTTCTTTCTTTTCTGCTCTAGTCTCAAAGAAAACTACAATCCAAATGCAAAGCAAACTCTGCGTTGATAAAGTTGGGACTGAAAACATGAATCAGTAACTCGAGTTGCAATAAGGGATAGGCAGAACCTATCTTTATAGCCCCACCAGCCCAGACTTAAGTTTGAAGTTACAAAATACAAACAGATTGAAGATTGGTGACATGCAGTAAAGGAGAAGATCCCCTTAATTCTCCCTCACTGCAGAATACCAGAACGGTGACATCCCACAACACACCAGAACTGTGACAACACCTGAAATCAGGATGGGATGGAAACTGGGAAAAAAAAAAAAAAAAAAAAAAAGAAGAAATGTTTCTGGATCTTTCAGCACAAAAAGAAAAGAACAGACGGGCAGAGAATGGAGCAAAAGTGAGTTGTTTTTGTGCATTGGTGGTGCAGAACAGAAGGAATATTCTTCCATGGTTCATCTGCTAGCAGAAATCTCAAAACCAGATCCTTTTTGATTCATTCAGACTTATTGTCAATAAACATATCAAAAAAAAATAGCTGCAGATAACATTGATCTTCAAGTATGGTTATATCTGTCTGGATTTATGATAGCTCCATGCACTGGTCCAGAAATGTCCCTGGTGCCCGTTGTGTCCCCAGATAGTGACACAAAGTCTGGAGGCAAAGGTGATTTTTTTTTTCTCTGGGTTATGTTTTTTCTTTCTTTTTTTTTTTTAATGTGTCCTGGCAAACAGGAATTCAATGGGGACTCACTGTGGGAAACAGTGATGAGTCGGGCTGTTTTATTTAGGACTTGGCACTTGTTCAGCTTCAGGGCAGAGTTTTTCCTACGGCGCGTGATCCAGCACGTGGGGAGCTGGTTTCTGCTCCTGTGCAGCTCTGCAAACTTTCCTGCCTCGGTTTACCCAGCTGGAGAAGGGGGCTAAGATAAGGCTGTTTCTCAAGGATGAATACTGGAGAACCACCCATAAAGTCACGGAGTAATCGAGGTTGGGAAGGACCTCAGGAGGTCTCTGTTCCACCTTCTGCTCAAAGCAGGGCCAACCTAGACCACCTTGTTTCCAGGCAAAACTGATTGGGCAGCCCCAGGATGTCAAGCTGCATCAATCAGATTTTTAAGACAGTGTAAAGTCTATCCTGGGACATGGTAAGAGAAAGCTGTACCGAAGAAAGTGATATTTGACAGCATTAAACCTCCCTCAGAAATATCCTGTGACCCTCAAATCGGTTTTTTGGGGTATTTTCTTTTTGCTTTTCTTTTTTTCTTTTACTTGAGAAAACTAAAAGCAAAAAAAAAGAAAGAAAAAAACACTTTCAGCATGAAGTTTCCTCCTTTTGCAGTTACAATTTTTGGAAGTTTTCCAAAAAAAAAAAAAA